CTGCCCTCTGCCACCCGGGAGCAGGCCTAAGCCAGCAGGTCGTTATCTCCTGAGGGGTCCCAGACTGTGAGAGGGCACACGGCCGGGCTGGGGGACCCCTCCCCCCCCCGAGTGCACAAATTTTTGTGCACCGGGCCTCTAGTCATTAATAAATAATAATACAAGAATGTACTCACAACTGTAAACCCACTTACTCAGGTTATAAAATAAATCCTGTCCATCACTGAGTTCATAATTTCACTGAAGAGCCTAGATATGCATAGGGTTGGAAGTAAGATCCATTTTCTGGAAGAGACCTATGACTGCTGTTTTATTGAGTTGAAGATAAAAGAGATTTTTTAAATGTAGGTATTAAATGCTTTTATTGGCTCTATGATTCATTGACTTTATCTGGTACTATGTAGCAAGAGCAGTGCCTTTTAAACTTGCCAGATAAATATTAAACAGTCTGAGCTAGTCCATACTAGCTTCAAGCTACTTGGGAAAGTAAAAAGAATTTTAGAAATTTAAACTGTTTAAGAAGGTAAGCAACCGGGGGTCTTGTTCCCTTTATAAAGATTGCATGCTAGCAAAGGTGCTACTTTTAGCTATTTTATGAGCCATTTTTAATTTTCTTAATATTGAAAAAAATATCTTTAAATGCTTAACCAGCATTCTTTTTTTCTTCTTCTTTTTTAAGGTATGGGCTATTCCATGTATAAGGAATTCTGGGCAAAACCTAAACCATAGAAGAAGAGATGCTGTCTTGGTCTTGGTGGTGTTTGCTATAGTTAGACATCTCATATTGAGGTTATATGTTTATGTTGAAAATAATCATTTGAGAGGGTCAGACAATAACACATTAATTTGAATATTGGCTTCCTTTTTTGCAGGCTTGATTTCCCAGGTGACTAAATTACTAGTGACTAGTTCACTGGCTAGGTCATTCAGGGGGGTCAGGTTAGCACATAAGAAACACGTCATTTTAAATGCACTCGATGTGGTGAAATGTCCACCCTGTTAAACTTTTCTGGTGAAATTAGTTCTAAGCAAGAACTACATGCCAATCCAGCAACTCCCAGTTGCTGCAGAATCTCACATGCTTTTGATGTTATGTAGGAATCCTATTTGCCCCAGTTACTTTGACTTTATTCTGCCTGCCTTGTGGACTGAATGAGGAGTTCAGTTTTTAGGGTTGATTGGCTCTTAAAGAACCCTTTCAGAACAGTGCATGGCATATAATGTTACAAACCTCCCCACAACTGAACGTGTGTGTTTAAACCAAACCTAACATGCTGATAACAGCTGCTAGAAGGTAGTATTTATTTTAGAGTCACACTTGTAAATGTAAAATAATTATGGACCCCAGTTTAGCTCTTTTCTAATTGCAGAATTATATTTTTGCTGCTGTTATATAAGAATAATTTTTAAATGTCACCTTGAAATAGATATATGTATTTTAATTGCCAACACAAAGGTAATGAAAGACAGTTTTAAATATTTGCTGTATGTTCATTTTCTCTGTAAGAATCATAAATGTTAAACTAAACAAATACCTATAATGGAAATGATGACTGATTCAAGAGCAAGCTCTGGAAAGACATTATACAGAAACTTTGATGTACTACAGAAGGCTTTATTGCGCTTGTGAAATTCTAACCTGAATTACATTCCATGGTGATAACATGGTAAATGTATTGTTATTAAAGTAAGTGAACACGTCAAATGTCTTGTATTTATTTCAATTTGGAAAAATAAATCATTCCTCAAAGTAGCATGAAAATTAAGTTTCCAAAGAGATAAACCAAAGAACTTACATACTTATATGCATATCCCATGGACATGGGCAATAGGGTAGTGAAGACCTGGGGGTGGGTGGGGAGTGGGTAGGGGCTGGGAGGATGGGGGAAGTGGGAGATATCTGTAATACTATCAACCCTAAAAAATGTACTTAAAAATTTTTTTAAAATGTTTCCAGAAATGAGGGAGAGCATTTTGGACCTTTGGTAAGAACCATGGTTAAAGAATATTTACCAAACAGGAAAATTGGCTAACATTTATTGAGCATTTATTGTGTGCTACACACTGCTGTAAGCACCTTTTAAGTATAATGTCATTTAAGTTTCCTAACAACCCTAAGCGTTAGGAGCTATATCCTCATTTCATAGAGGACTTTGGCATGAATAGTTTAAGTAACGAACCAATGTCGCATAGCTAGAGAAGGATGTAGGTTTGGGACTGGAACCTGTATAGTCAAGTGGTAGATGCCAACTGGTTTTAGAGACTTGAAATGTTGGCCTTTGTGAAATTAATGCTGGAGTGGCAGCATTAATTTTGTTATAAATAAAATTAAACGAGGTTATGGCATGGTCTTGGCTCACCACTGACTATAACCTGGACCAAGTTGGTTTTCTCAATCTTTTCCTAGCTGTGAGGTGAGAGATTGGTCTAGGTAATTTTTATGGTCCTATTTAGATCATTTATGGGTCTGTGAGAAAGTGATTTAAAATATAAGCTATTAGGAATTTAATCAGCTTCAAATAGGCGTTATAGGAGATGCTTATAGGCAGTCTTAACAGTTGTTTCAGTAGAAGAAAAAAATTGGGAACAAGTTTCAGAAATTTGTCATTTTAATAGATGAAGATAATTGATTTTGTGAAAATAAATACTAATTTGAAAGAAAACGATCTGGACCAATGACAGGTTGCTGGGCAGATTAAGTGCAATGGTGGATATAAAGGGCTGAGCATAGCACCTGATGCATCAGTCACAGTGAATTGGTGCTGTTACCCTTGTGAAGTTCGGGGATGCAACAGCACAGGAGCTACGTGGGCCCTGCCCTTAAAACTCAGTCTAGTAGGGAGGGTGGCATTAAATAAGTGGTGACCAAAAGCATGGTGGGTATTAGGTATAGGATGCAGCAGGGACTTTGGGCTGGGGGGCCTAATCCAGGGTTGGAGGCAGACGGTATCCCTGAGGAAACCATGTCCTGCCTTAGGCGACAGTCTGCTGATCTGTCACTGAGAGTTGGAGTCCTCAGCTTCCTGTTATGTGTTACTGAAGCATTGGTGCGGGCTTGTTCCGTGCCTCTCCTCCACTAGTCTAATTTTTTTCATCCAAAGCACCTGGCTGGCGCCTGGCCCATATAGGTGTTCAACAAGTCTTTGTTGAATTAATTAGAATAAATAGGTTTGTGTTTTTTTTCACATTCAGGATCCTGCTGTCCCCAAAGCAGTTAACCTATGTCTAGTTAGCAAGCAACAGTAACATCTGGTGATGAGAATCAGAATTTGACTCCATACTTATATAAACCCTCAAAGGACCTTCCCTTCTGTATCAGAATTTTGGAGTAGAGGATTGGACAAGTAGGCCATGCCTGAGGGAATGCTACTCAGAGAGTTACAGGAACTTGAAATTTAGGATCAATGCTCTTCTAAATCTATACAGCCTGTGGCAACATACTAGGCCAGAACGAAGCCGAATGCACACATGATATTTAAAGTTCTCACGTGTCAAGTACTGGGACTGCCAGTTATTTATATACTTGATCCTGTTTGAAAGTTCTCCAAATAGAAGGGAGAAATTTGAGAAACGGAACATGCACCAGCCTTGACGGGGTTGCCACTTTCTCAGTGAATGACTTACCTGGGACAAGTTCACGAAAGAACCAGCATGGCCCAGGCATCCTAGCTGTAGTCTTAGTCACTGAAATGAGGCCAAAGAATCTGTTTCTACCAGGTCTCCTACATTCAGTAGCGAGAAATGGGTCTACAGTGGAGGCCAGCGTCCATGTGCCCCTCTCAGAGGAATGCAGGAATAGGTCCTTTTGAATATTTTGAGCTTCTTCACCTTCCGGCTCGAGCCCTATGACCTACACTCAGCTTGTCTACAGCCACACTCAGGGTCCTCCCCACTGGTGCTCCTTCCTAGCTCACCCATGTGTCAGCGATGCCCTCCGGCTCCCACGGTCACACTCTGGGCTCAAACTCAAGCATCTTTCCTTCCTCCTGCCATTTATCACTATGAAACCAGTCACCGGGGCCTGCCAGTTTTTCCTAAGCAAAGTCTCTCAACATTCAGATTTGTCCTTTTCCTCTCCCTGTTGCCAACACTGTAAACCTAGGTCCTTCACCTCTGTTCTGCCACCTACCTACAGCGGTGCCGCTGATGCCAGAGCCCTGTGCCCAGCACTGCCCGGAGGTGAGATTCCCATATACAATTCCCATATACAAAATTTTTTTAAACTCGGTCTTTTTGTTGTTGTTTAAGATTTTAAAAATTGATTTTTAGAGAGAGGAAGGGAGGAGAGAGGAAGAGAGGAAATATATGTGAAAGCAGAACATCAATCAGCTGCCTCCTATATGCCCCCTACCGGGGATGGAGCCCACAACCCAAGCCTGTCCCCTGACTGGGAATCAAACCCAGCAATCCTTAGGTGTATGGGATAATGCCCAACCAAGCCACACCAGCCAGGGCTATCCTCAGATTTTTTCTTTTTCATAAATTAAAATCCTCTGCCAATATTTGTTTTGGCCGTTATAAGAAGGAAGGTGAGATTCCCATATACAAATGGCCTTGACTGGAGGAGGTGAACGAAAAACTAGGAAGTACACAAGGCACTGGGGACCTAATCAATAGGGGGAAAAGGATGATCACTGAGACCAGCTGATTTCCATCCATGTGTTTTGAAAGACCAAGAGTGATCTGAACCAAGAGTGAAATTGAGAAAGTTTGGGGCAAATATAAATGATATTACCAGTGCATTGTGCTGAGAGCCGGAAGCAGAGCCAGGGTAGATCTCATCCATCGGAAAGATCTCTTGGAACTAAATAAAGACTAATGAGTCTTGGCAGAACATTTAGTTTCCTAACAAAATCAACATATGATGAATGAGATCACCATACACTATATACAAACACATCTTAGACAAAATAGCTCCATGGGTAAAATAAGACTTGAAGTGGTATTAAATGAGATGCTGATGGCCAACAAAAGCCCAAATCCTTGGTGAGTTGAAGAGGCAGAACTGACTGTGTGTATCCAGCACCTTCCAGCCCACGGGAACTTGAACCTGGAAAAGGGGAACAATTTTTATCTCTGCGGGAGCCCCCGGCTAAGAAGAGGCATATTTAATAAGACTTAAAATATCTCAAGGCAGTTTGCCTCTGTTTGCTCTGAATCCGTACCCACAATATCCTTCTGGTAACTCTTGGCTTCTTGCATGTCTGATTCCCAGAAGGGAGGGGCTCTGGATAAGGGTCATCGTCCCCTAAAGTAAACTGGTGGCTTAGTGTTCTGGGTGATACCGTGACTGGCGTAGGTCTAGCCTCAAGAGACAACTCCTGGTACAAGGATCAAATCCGATTATGGAGCCAACTTTAAGCTGCAGCAAAGCTTACTTCCTTTTTGAGACAAAACAGCTAAATATGGAGTGGTATTTCATTGTGAGTTTGTGGGTTTTATTTTATTTTATTTTTACTCCTCACCTGAGGGTATTTTTCCATTGATTCATAGACAGAGTGGAAGACAGGGAAAGACAGAGAGAAATATCCATGTGAGAGAAACATATGGATTGGTTGCCTCCTGCACCACCCCTACTAGGGCCTGGGCCTGGGAGGAGCCTGTAACGAGGTATGTGCCCTTGCCCAGAAACGAACCTGGGACCCTTTGGCCCACAGGCCAATGCTCTATCCACTAAGCCAAACCGGCTAGGGCTTGTAAGTATATTTTTATTGATTTCAGAGAGGAAGGGAAAGGTAGAGAGAGACAGAAACATCAATGATGAGAGAATCATCGATTGGCTGCCTCCTGCATGCCCCCCACTAGGGATCAAGCTGCAACTGGGCAAGTGCCCTGGCCAGGAATCGAACTGTTACCTCCTGGTTCATAGGTCAACCCTCAACCACTGAGCCACGCCGGCCTGGCTCATTGTGGGTTTGATTTGCATTTCCTTAATCGCTAGTGATGTTGAGCATCTTTTCATGCGCTTATTGGCCATTTGCGTATCTTCACTGGAGAAATGTTTATTCAAGTCCTTTGCCCGGTTCCAATTGTTTTTTTGTTGCTGTTGTTGAGTTTGCTCAACTGATTTTTTAAAAAATATGTATTTTATTGATTTCAGAGAGGAAGGGAGAGGGAGAGAAGATAGAAACATCAATGGTGAGAGAGAATCATTGATTGACTGCCTCCTGCACACCCCCTACTGGGGGTTGAGCCTGAAACCTGGGATGTGCTCTGACGGAGAACAGAACTGTGACCTTCTGCATGCCCCTGGTCGGAGCTCAACCACTGAGCCACACCAGCCGGGCTGCTCAACTGATTTTTGACAAAGGTTCAAAAGCAATCCAATGGAGGAAGGATATCTTTCAAGAGATGGTGCTGGGCATCCATAGACAACAAAACAAAACAAAACAAAAACTTGACTTAAATCTCACACCTTATGCAAAAGTCACATAAAAATAAATCATGAACATAAAATGCTGGCACTTTTAGAAAATTACAAGGAAGTCTTTGGGATCCAAGGCTAGGCAAGGAGTTTTTACACTTGACACCAAAAAAGGAAGAAACTGATCAATTGGACCTAATAAAAATGTAAAAAGTTGTTCCGTGAAGTCCATGCAAAGAGAATTAAAAGACAAGCTACAGACTGGGAAGAAATTTGCAAGCCACATACCCAACAAAAGACTAGTATGTAGAATACATAAAGAATTCTCAAAACTCAACAATTAGAAATTGGGTGAAAAGACATGAATAGACATTTCACCCAAGAGGATATACAGATCGCAGGTAAGCACAATGAGAAAACTGTTCCGGATCATTATCCATCATGAATGTCAGACCACAATGAGATGTCACCACACACGTATTAGAATGGCTAAAATAAAAAACACTGCAAAGATGCGGAGAAACGAACGCTCATACATTGCTGGTGGGAATGTAAAATGGTACAGCCACTCTTACAGACCAGGTTGGCTGTTTTGTTTTTGCTTTTTTTGTAAAACTAAACATGTGATTACCATACAACTGTACTCCTGGGCATCCCAGAAAAAGGAAAACGTAGGTTCACACAGAAACCTGTATATGAGTGTTCATATCAGCTTTATTTGTAATAGCCCTCAACTGGAAACAGCCCAGAAGTACTTCTATGGGTGAAAGGTTAGACAAACCTGGGCATATCCATACTATGGAAAACTGCTCAGCAATAAAAAGAAACAAATAATTGATACAACAACTTGAATAAACCTCCAGAGAATTATCCTGGCGGGGGTGGGGGGTGGGGGGTGGGGGGAGTCAATCCCAAAAGGTTACACGCTATATTATTCCACTCACAAAACATTTTTGAAATGACAAAATTTTAGAAACTGAGAACAGATTAGCAATCACCAGGGGTTAGGGACTTGGTGAAGGAGGTGGGGAGGGGAGGGAAGTGGGTGTGGCTTTAAAAGCCCAACAGGGGGGATCCTTGTGATTTAAGTGTTCAGTGCCTTCTCTTCACTTTGGCGATCAAACTGACATGTGTGATAAAACTGTATGGAACTAAATATGCACACACTCGAATACCCGTTAGACGGGGAAATCTGAGTAAGACAGGTGCATTGTGTCAATGTCAGCATTCTGGTTGTGACACTGTGCTCGAGTGGTCTGGTGCTGCATCTTTGTGCATGTCTATGAGGTGGAAAAGAAGGGAAAAAATGAGATAGTTGAAGATTTTCACATTATAAAGGCCTGGGTATATATTCAGAAAGCCTCCTCAGATCTTCTCTCCTAGAAATTTGTCTCCCACCCTCAGATGGCCTTGAATATAGTAGTGACTTCAATTGGGAAGTGCCTTTAAAAACAAAAAACCACAAGAGTTTTTTACTATGAAAATAAACCACGTTCGTTATATTTAAACTCCTCTGAAGTGCAAACATGACCACAGCACTGCAGTTCCAACACCAACATGAAATAACTCTTTCTCACTATTTCTATGCGTCTCTCCCAGTCCTGCTTCTGGGCCCCATTTTAAAAAACACAACCTGAGCAATAGCTCACCCTCAGGGCATGACCTTTCCCCCACACTTTTCAAAGACAGTCAAGGTGGGGTCGGCCACTTGCTTCACTCACCGTCACAACATGGCCTTTCCCACAACATGACCTTTCCCCCACATTTTTTCACATTTTTCAAAGACATTCAAGGTGGGATCGTCCACTTTCTTCACTCACCGTCACAACATGACCTTTCCCCCACATTTTTTCACATTTTTCAAAGACATTCAAGGTGGGGCCGTCCCCCTTTCAACTCCCCGGCAGGACTGCGGAATGTGCACCCTGCGCAGAACGTCTGGTCCACTAAACTTTCAGAACACGTGGCCCAGAAGCGGACCGCCGCTTTCAAGCCTCCGGCACCCGACACCCGCCCCCAACCCCCCGCGCCTCCTTCGGTACCTACCCCACCGCCGCACCCGGGGCCCCCCGGGCCGCTGTCACTTTCCGAACTTCCGGCGCCCTCTGGGCCACGTGGTGACGTGACGGGGCGTTGTAGCTCGGTTTCCCTGGCGACAGTTGCCGGGGCAGCGCGAGCAGCGTCCGGAAGAGGTGGCCCCGCTGCGGTGGCCCCAGACAGCAGGAGCGGAGTGACCGTTGTAAGTGCGGGGAAGTGCGCAAGGGCGGGGGCCGGAGCCGGGGGAGCCCGCAGCCCCGGGGGCTTGGATCGGAGCCGGAGCGCACACGCTCGCCCGGCGCGCAGGCACTGGCCGGACGCTCCCTGCGCGCCCCACGCAGAGCGAGGACTCCTCGGCTCCGGGAATCCTCACGCTCCGCCTCCTCCCTCTCCGGGCACTGATTTCCGCGCGGCACTGGGGTTAGTGAGGCTCCCAGGGTAGGTCACCCGCCCAAAGCCACCGAGCCGGTGGCAAACTCGGGTCCGCCTGACCTCCAGCGCCCTCTTCTGGTCTCTGCTGCGGAGGCCTCGCGCCCCACGCGCGGGTGGAGCGGGAACTGCGCCACCTGGTGGCCGCCACTGTCCCCGTCCTCCCGCTCCAGGGCCAGCCCCCGCTTCTCTTCCATCTCTAGACACCTTTTCAGGTGAAATTCCTCCAAATGGGCTTGGCAAACTAAGGCTCACAGATCAAATCCAGACCACTGCCTATTTTCGTAATAAAGTTTTATTGGAACACAGCCACACCCGCCCACTCAGGTCTTGTCTGTGGTTGCTTTTCACTGCACTGGCACAACACAGTAGCGGCAACAGAGCCCTCTGGCCCGCAAAGCTTAGAATATTTACCATCCGGTCCTTTACAGAAACAGTAAGTTGGACTCTGTTGTGAATTTAGGCTAACCAGACTTTTCCTGTGAGGTGTAGGAGCAAGGAGACCTAGAGGTGGCATTATCAAGGGGAAGGCAGGCTGGAAGGAGAGACTGCGGCCAAATCCCCCAAAGCCTTTGGTGCCTTTGGACTTGGTTTGGGGTTAACGGGCATCTACTGAAGCTTTTATTTATTTATTAAAAATATATTTTATTGCCGAGACCGGTTTGGCTCAGTGGATAGAGCGTCGGCCTGCGGACTGAGGGGTCCCGGGTTCGATTCCGGTCAAGGGCATGTTCCTGGGTTGTGGGCACATCCCCAGTGGGAGATGTGCGGGAGGCAGCTGATCGATGTTTCTCTCTCATCGATGTTTCTAACTCTCTATCTCTCTCCCTTCCTCTCTGTAAAAAATCAATAAAATATATTAAAAAATATATATATATATTTTATTGATTATTTTACAGAGAGGAAGGGAGAGGGATAGACAGTTCGCTTCTTTGATGAGAGAGAAGCATCGATCAGCTGCCTCCGGCACACCCCCAACCAGGGAGGTGCCTGCAACCAAGGTACATGCCCTTGACTGAATCGAACCTGGGACCCTTCAGACTCGTAGGCCGACGCTCTATCCACTGGAGCCAAACCGGTCAGGGCTACTGAAGCTTTTTAAAAGTCATGATTGAGTCCCATCCCTAGGAATTGGGATTTAATTGGTCCAATATGTGCCCAAGTCATATTTTGGGAGCTCCTGAGAGATTCTAATGTTCAGCCAGAGTGGAGAACCACTGTTTTAGGGACAGGAAGGGGGAAGCGTTGAGTCTGATGGGGAGTATTCTGATGCCAGGCACAGTTGGGGGGCAGAGTCAGGGCTAGAGGAGGATGCTCAGCTCAACTTTGGTTTCCAGGGGATTGAGGTGAGGGGGGGGGGTCTTCTGAACTTCCACGTGGCCACATGCAAAGCTAAGCAGCTAACTCCAGGGTTGGGGGCTGCAGACCCGCTGACTATGTACTGAGCCCTCATGGGAAATGTGCGTTTTGTGAGGTTCGCTTCAGCTCGGGTCTCTTTTCCTACTCCCAGGGCAAGATGGCAGCGGAGGAGGGCTCGCAGGACACCTTGCGGCTCCAGTTCCAGGCCATGCAGGAGATGCAGCACAGACGGCTACAGAAGCAGATGGAGAAACAGAAGGAAAAGGAACTGAGCCTCAACAGCAGAGACGATGACCCGGAAGAGCCCTTGGAGGTCTTCGATGGCCTCAGCCTTCTCCAAGCCGGGGAGCAAAACTCACAAAGCGGCTTTGAGCGGCGGTAAATTCACGTCTGAACTCTCCCCGGAGCGCCCGCCGCAAAGAGATCGGGAGGCGGGGGAGAACCGATAGCTGATAGTTGGGCCGTCAGGTTGACTGCATATGCGTTTTTAAGTTGAGACACAGGGGTATTGGCACAGGTTGTTATCGAAGACGCTAGAGCAGTGGTTCTCAACCTTCTGGCCCTTTAAATACAGTTCCTCATGTTGTGACCCAGCCATAAAATTATTTTCGTTGCTACTTCATAACTGTGATGTTGCTACTGTTATGAATCGTCATGTAAATATCTGATATGCTGGATGGTCTTAGGCGACCCCTGTGAAAGGGTCGTTCGACCCCCAAAGGGGTCGAGACCCACAGGTTGAGAATCGCTGCCCTAGAGTCTGGTAGGTCTGTGGACAAAATTGGGTAGGAAATGTACTTAAAAACCACTTAAAGTTTAATTGAAATCTTGGAACTCATCAGGGTGTAGTCTATTCACTTGGATTTTCTTACGTCGTTTCTCATGGAAACTGGGTCTGGGTTTCTGAGGAGCTGGTTGGCTAATTCTCATGGTTCATCGGTTCATCGACAGTCATCGCTCCCATTCCCACCTGGGATTGTTCCCCCGGGCAGTGTCCCTTTCCTGGCCTAGCATCACAGAAAGCTGGCTGTCCTGAAGAAGGTCTGGGCGGGTTCCTTTCGATTTTACAGTTGGTGGAAAAGTCGAAGAGAGTCCATAACTTTCTCACTCTGCTCCGAATTCGACGTCCCACGGATGCATGTTGGTCTATACAGGAGTCTGTATTGACACAAAATTCTCTGTTTGTCATTTTTCATAAAAATCACTGCAGTTGTTGAGCTGCCTCTTTGCTTCTGGCTTCACCCAGGATCCTTTTTTCTCCATCTTCAAATTCTACTGTTTATGGTTTCTCAATTTTCAAAATGTTCTACTAAAAATTCTAGTTGATAAAAAATAGAAGACCTCCCGGTAATTGAAACTTCATATGGCTCTTAAATATTAGCTCCAAGTTAACCCCAGAGCTATTGGCAAATGACCTTTCCCCAAATCAGGAACCTGGAATCGAGGGAGACTTGAGCCACTGTCGGATTAACAGCAACAGCAATAATTTCTATAACCTTTAACTTCTATAACGGATTTCCTTTCTGAGCAGCTGTCGCTAGGGAGCCTGTCCCATTTGTAACAATGGAAGTGATCGCAGACGCTCCATTATAAATGGCCTTGCAGACAATTTATAACACACAAAACCAACCAACCACCCGATTCTCTGTCAGGTTTACCGAAAACCTGGAGACGCAGCCTCAACGTAAGGCTTAGACAAATTCTGTCTGGTCTTCTAGCATGTGTGTGCCATGAAGACTGTAAATCCCCTTCTAAGCATCACTTTATCTGCCTTTCACAAGTTGTGATATTTATCACTTCTGCAGTCCGTCCATTCGAAATGCTGGATAATGCATTTAGGATTTCTTCTTAATCCACACCTAATTTAGGAGTGGGTTTTGTTTTGTTTTTGTTTTTTTAGTTCCAGACATACGATAGGTTTGCCGTTTTGTTTTTTCTAGTGTTGATTTTTAATTTTAGTCAATTGCCATGAAGGAAAACGGTCTGTAGAGCCATGCCCATTATTTGGCATTTGCCAAGATTGCCTTTGTACACGTTCCATGGATGCTTAAGAGGAAGATGAATTCTCTGAGCGGAGGTGTTATGTCCTGCTCCGTTGAATCCGTAGTAAACCATGTTATTCAGATTTCTTTCTCCTCTCACGTGTGTGCGCGCATGTGCGTGTGGCTCGTGTGCACCGAGTCTCGATTTTGAAACCAGTCTGTTAACATCCGCTCACTGAGGGTCCCCTAATTTCCCCGTCCTACTTTGTTCAGACCAGTTCTCATCACCACCTGGTGCCCAGCGGGGCCTGACAGACCTGGGCGGGGCCGTAACGCTGCCTGTGCCTTGCAGGGTGCTGGAAGATGAGATCGAACAGCTTCGCCACCAGCTCAGGGAAACCGTGGACGAGAATGGGCGGTTGTACAAGCTGCTGAAGGAAAGGGACTTTGAGATCAAACACCTGAAGAAGAAGCTGGAAGAGGACAGGTTCGCCTTCACAGGTAGCTCCGCCATCGCTGCGATGGGCCAACAGCGGGTTCCAGGCGGCAGGGGCCCGAGGAGAGTGCTGAGGGTCCGCTGTGGTCGGGCTTGTCCAGAGGAGTCCTGGAAATGAGGGTGAGGGGAGGGAGGGCAGGCCCGGAGGCCAGCACGGGAAGTGGGAGGGGGAGAGCGGCAAGGATAGAAGGACTGGGGCTCAGCCGGGACTCCTGGTGAGGGTTCTGCATGGTGCTCGCTCGCTGTGTATTCCCTGGGCCAGCAGGGCCCATTTCCTGTGGGTGCTCTGGCCCCGACGTTGAATCTTGGACGTGGAAACGCCCCAGCGGTAGCAGGCATTTACTCGACTCGCACTGCTGCTCCAGAGAGGTGGGCGAGCCGGGGAAGCCAGCTGTTCCCCGGGATTTCCTAGGACCCAGCACGGCCTAGAATGGACGGGGGCCCTTCAGGTCCAGGCTGGACCTTGGCTGTGTTGGTGGAGACCTTGCCCCATGGGTCTGGTGGGGACCGTGGCTTTGTGGGTGTACGTAAGATTGACCTTAGCCCTGTGGGCGTGGGCTGGACGTTGGCTCTGTGGTTATGAGCTAGACCTTGGCCCCCGCTCCCTGTGTGCCCGATGAGCAATCCCCAGGTGGCTGACCAATAAACCACAAAGGCCGTGTCACCAATGGCAGAGAGCAGCGGGCCTCGCCGGACACCTGCCAGAGCGTCCCTCCCGGCCTTTGATCTTAAATGCCTTAGAGGGTGGGGACACCCAGAGGACCAGTTCCAAATGCAACAGCCAGGGGCTTTGGCACCCTGACGGCCCTTGGGGTTCTACTGCGCCTCCCTGCGTGCTCCGGCCGTTTCTGTCTAAAACAGAACACCGGAGACCGGGCTCAGTGTTGCGAGAGCAGAAACACGCATCCTGGCTCGGGGCTCAGACGTGCAGGGCGGCCTGCCCTGGCGCAAGGCTGCCGAGAAGCGGTGGCTCCACCGCCTGCCCTCGCTAGGCCCCGAACCATGCGGCCTCCTCCGTGGCATCCCTCCAGCCACCCCTTCTGCGGCCTCCTGCCCCTGCCCGCGGCCACCCGGCTGCTTCCTCAGACACTCCACGCACTTTCCTGCCTCCGGACCTTTGCACTTGCTAGTTCCTCCGCCGAGAACACCCTTCTGCCTGACCCGTCTCTCACTTCATCCAGCCAGGTCTCTGTCCACACGTTGCCTCCTCAGAGAGGCCTTTCCCAACCGTCCCTAGAGCAGCATCACCCCATCACTCTCACCCCCTTGCCCAGCGTCAGTAGCACTCATTCCTCCCGGGTATTGGAATGCATATTTATGCTGGTTTTTTATGATCTATAAAAATCTTTTTCATTCACCATTGAGTCCCTAACGCCACGAGCGTTCGACACTTGGTAGAAACTCACTCAGTTTTGACTGAATGGACACGTGCATCTGTATTATTAGGTGTTACCACCAAATCCTGTGTAACAAACAACCACATCGCCTCAGCAGCACTCAGCAGCAAGCGCTGATTTAGCTCCGACCTCTGGGGTTAGGCTGGGGACCAGCTGGTCCAGGCCGGGCTGGGGCGGGTCAGCTTTGTTCTGTGCGTCTCTCTTCCTCTTCCTGGGACCAGCCAGCTGGCCTGGGTGTGCTGCTCCTGAGGAGGCGGCCCAAGCGACAAGGGCTTCTCAAGCCTCCACCTCCACCTTGTCTGCTAGCGTCCCATCGGCCAAAGCCAGTCCTTGTCACCCCAGCGTCAGCACTGGGGGGCATAGCCGAGTCCCGGGCCGGAGGTGTGGGTGTGTGAGCCTGTCACCGAGGAGGGCGTGGAGGACCGGCACGATGACCCCCTCTCCCGGAGGATTAACACTCCACTTCCCGACTGACTCGTCATTCTCCTAGGGCGCGCGGAGCCTCCGCTGGCTGCAGTGCCTGCTGGGGTCGGGTCCCAGGCGCCCAGGTGTGCGGGGACGCTCCCGAGCCTCTTTCAAAGCCCTGGCGGTTGGCAGTGGAGCGTGCGTGTGCTGTGTGGGCCTGTGTCTTTCACTGACCCCACCCTCTCTTCCTTCCCCGCAAGGGTCAGCCGGTGTGGCTGGGGATGCGATCGCCAGCAAGATCGTCGAGCTGTCCAAGAGGAACCGGGTGCTGATGGCGGAGTCCGAGGGCGCGAAGACCAGAGTGAAGCAGCTGAGCAATCGCGTCCGGGAGCTGGAGCAGGAAGTGAGGCGCCTTGCTCATCCCCGTCTCTGCCGGGGCCCCAGCACCCCGGGCCGCCCCTCCACAGAGGGAGCCGCACTTGGGGGCTGTGGCTCCTTCTGAAGGGCTGGTGGGTCCGTGGTAGCAGCGAGCTCCTCAGTCTGTCGCATCCTGAGAGGGGGAGTGTGTCGGGAAGCGAGGGGGACAGGGGTCACGGAGAGGCAGCGCACAGAGGTCAGGACGCGGCCTGGAGCCTGGCCGCCTGGGTGGGAACCTCAGCTCTGTCGCTGACTCGCTTTGTGACACCGAGCGAGGTGGTCCCCCCCCTCCCGTCTGTCACATGGCAGTAGGGACAGGGCTCCCCTACGGTTTCCTGAGAGTGAATGACTTCACGTTGCAGAGCGTTAGAGCAGGACCCAGCATGGAGTGAGCACTGGATGCACGTTTGTTAGATGTGTTAACAGGGATCCTGGCGAATTGGAAGTTCAAGCCAGGAGTGTGCTACCAATCAGTCTCACTTACGCCCCCTTCCTCTTTCTGTTGCCCCCCGCCCCCCCCCCCCCGCAGCTCATCCCAGGGCCCTCCAGCGGGGCGAGGGCACAGCCCAGGCAGTCCATGCTCCCGTAGGAGCCGGGACAGAATCCATGTGCCAGGGAGCACCCACCAGCCTCTCCTCACACGGCAGGAGCCGAGGCTGGAAGAGGCTACGCGACTTCCTGGAGTCGCACAGCAGGTGGTGGTGCCCGATTTCAAGTCCAGTTCTGTGGCTCCGCAGCGTCCTCCCCGTCACTGTGCCTGGCACGGACCTGGAGCTTCTTTCTTCCATAACACAGTTCTGAGACCCGTCTCGGGCTCTGTGCCAGGCCCCGGGGAGACTGTAGGGAGATAGACCAGCACCCAGGGCCTCTTACAGGAGGGACCGTGCCCGGTGGGTCCCTGGAGGATGAGAGGGGAGAGGTGCGTTAACGGGGATCCATGCCAGGTGCCCGCAGGTGCGGGGCCCTGAGTGGGGAAGAAGGTCTGGGAGGAGACCCGTGTGGCCGGGGAGGGGAAGAGGATGAGGTGAGAGAGGTGGGGGTGGGCCATGCCCAGCCTTGTTAGGCAGGGCGTGGGCTTTGTGTGAGGAGCAGTGGGGGAGCCAGGGATGGGCTGGCTGGTGGCCTGTCTGTATGTGGTGATGGTCTTGGCCATGGGCCCAGGCAGCGGGTCCTCAGCGTCTCCTCGTCTGAACCATGAAGTCCGTCTTTCCTTACCCCTCCCAGACGGCTGTTAGGGCTCCCGGGCACAGGCCCTGGCTGCAGCGTTCTTCTTCTTAAGTTGTCAGTGACTCCCAGGGCTGCAGCTCTGTGCGGCTGGGGAGAGGGCGGACCGTCCATGGGACCCTCTCCCAGGGCATGTGGTGGATGAGCGTTCGCCACCAAAGACCCCCAGGTGCGCCCAAAGGCAACCACGGAGGTCGGCAGCCACGCACCCAAGAGCGGCCTTGGCTGCTTTACTCGGCGCCGCAATTGCTGAGCAGAATGAAAGATTAAGTGTGGGGCTTGCTTTTCCAGCTGCAGACGGCCCTGGCCAGGCTGCCAGCCAAGGGGGCCACCGACGCGGGAGCTAAGCCGCCGAGGGCCCAGCCGGGAGACGGAGCCTTGGTATGCATCTTCCTCTGTGCCTCTGTCCCGGGTCCACCTCCACCCCCCTGGGGAGCGGTGCCACCATCGCAGCATCTGCACAGCAGCCATTGGGGGGCCACAACTCCCCCCCAGGGATGCCCCAGTGGAGGCCAGGGGGGCCTAACGCAGAGAGGGCCTCGGGAGGGGCCCGAGGACCTGGAAGCCTAGGATTTCAGGACCAGAGGGGAGGGCCTGATCCCACCGGTCGCCCACTCTCAGCCCAGCACCCTGTACAGCATCCTCACTGGGGCGACATCCCACCTCTGCGTCACCCCCGGGGACAGGGGCTCACTGCTGCCCATGGAGCCCTGCTTGGAGGGGGCGGTTTATTTTGTGAGAATTCTCTTTCCTGGAGTCTTGAGAGCATCCCAGAGGCCTCCCCGGACATTCCCCTGGGAAGCAGCCAGCTGGTGACCCAGGTCCCAGCCTCGGGACGCCCAGTTCAGAGCTCCTGTCCCAGCCCCTCCGCCCCAGCTCTCCACCACTCAGGACCGAGTGGCTTCACGCCCGTCCCGGGAGAGCTCAGTCCTCCGAGTGCAGCACCGGCCCCTGGGGGTCCCGGGTGGATGTGCCTCCTGAGGAAGGAGGGGGCAGGGCCTTCTAGAGGGGCTGGGCTCTGAGGTCACAGAGGGAGGGTACCCCTCGTCTGAGATGGCTGGGAGGTGGCATGAAGGAGGGTTCCTGAGGGGGGCCCTGCTGGAGAAGAGGGTGGGGGCGGGGCCTCCAACAGGCAAGCCCAGGCTCAGAGGCCGGGAAGCATCGGTATTTCTATCATGTTTGCTAGCTGGTGTCTGTCAGCTGGATCACCTTGGCCTGCAGCCCAGGGCCCCTGAGGGGGAAAAGGGAGTGTGAGCCAAAGGAAGCTGGGGGTGGGGGTCCCCATGGAGGGGGCCTCGAATGGCAGCTGGGGTGGCTGCAGGGGGCCTGGACGGTTTCTGATGGAGGAGCAGGTGATGGGCTGCCCGTCTCAATTCATCAGTGCCCTGTGGTTTTCCTAGGCATCTTCTGACCAGAGAGAGAACCAAGGCAGTGCCTTCCCCTCACCCCCAGTAGACTGTTGAGAGTGGAGCAGGCGGCCCTCCCTCGGCTGGGGCTGCAGGAGGCAGTGGTGTGAGCGTCATTGGTGCTGCCGGCTCCCTGGGGGCTGGGCTTCACTTATCCCCTCCAAGGAAACAGCCCTACCCACGTCCCCTCAGAGCCTGTGGACTTTCACTCTGGGCGGACACAGCTTTGAAACGGCAGGAGGTGGGGTTGGCCCAGCTGCCGGGACAGGAGGACTGGGCCGGGCAGAGCAGAGGGCTGCCGGCTGCACCTGCAAGTGGGCCCAGCCTGGCCCTCAGCCCCCTTTACCAGCTGCCCGGCCCAGTCGGGCTAGGGCCCCGGCATCGCCCTCTGGCAGAATCTGCCCCAGGCAGTGCCCTTTACCTGTGTGATCCTATCATCACTTCACCGGCCCCAGAGGCTGGTGACACACCCCCATCTTACAGATGAGGAAATGGGCTGGAGAGACGTCATGGCCTGGGTTCTAGATGCAGGTGCTCTCTGCCTGCTCCCCGTGCTCTGAGCAGCTCACCGCCCAGCAGGGCCCGCGGGGCTCCTGGCACCGGAGATCTGACCGGCAGGGGGTGTTGCTTCCCAAGGCAGAGTCAAAGCAGCAGAGTAGCTGGGAGAAGACAGTGCCCAACAGCCATGAGAAGGGATGGCAGGGAGCCAGATTGGGGGGGAGGGGGGACACGTAAAAAAAAAAGATTAAAAAAAGGACGCCCTTGGGTTTTGTGTAAGTTCCCAGCTTGCAGAACTGTTCACGTCGGTCACTCCGTTTGGCCTCGAGGTGGTGCTGTGGGAGCAGGACCGGGGAGTAGTGTTTTATACCCACTCCATCATGAGGAAACCTGGTGCGGCGGGGCTTTTCCGCTGGGCTACCCAGAGCCTTGGGGGGTCCACGACGCTCCCCAGACCCAGGCTCCTCGGATCTGCCTTTCCCGCGGGCGTTGACACTGGAGATTTTGTTGTGTCCGCTAAGGGAGGCTCAGAAAGCCACTGCAGTCCCCGTCCTGCTTCCCAGAAGTGCGGCCCCCCTGGCCTGTTGGGACAGGAGCAGGCGGTCTGTGCCATGGCTGGCGGGATGCCCAGCCCACCAGCCAGCACTCCTGCTGCCACGGTGCCTGGGCATCAGCAACGGCTTACGTGGGCGAGTCGGCTGGTGCAGGGGGAGGAGCAGGCTTCTGATCCCACCTCTGGCACCCCCAACCCTCTGTGCACCCCACGACAAGTTACTTCCCCTCTCTGGACCTTACTCTCATCACCTAGGGTAGGGGTGTGAATGGGCTGAACTGGGAGTACCTTTCATGCTGAACTTCTGCGGGTCTCGGGAACTTCTACTGAAGACAGAGAAGTGGGCAGCACATTGGAGAAAATTTTACATTTAATAGTTGAAATCAGACATTATTTAAAAAAAACAAAAAACGTTGCTAAGAGTTCCAGGAGGCAGAGTTTTCATGGCTGCCACAGCTCTTCACGCCACGGGAACGGAGCGTTTGGGGATTTAAACGGGGTCCTTATTTCTGTTCGGCGAGCTCAGTGCCAGGAAAGGGACCCAGGCCCGGCTGGGGGTTCCAGGAGAGGGAGGCCCCACGTTTCCATGGCAGTGGCCCTCCTGCAAAGGAACCGGTTCCCTCTCTGTTCCGAGTGAAGATGGATGAGCTGTGAGGCTGGTCTCTGAGCACAGCAGAGAGAGTGCACAGCCTGGAAGTGTGACTCCCCCTCTGTGGCCACTGTGTGTGTCTGTATGTGTATGTCTCTGTGTGTGTGTCTGTATGTGTGTGTGTGTGCGCGTGTGTGCATGCACGTGCAACCCTCAGAACAAAGGGCTCAGCCCCCAGAGTTGGGCTGACCGGACTCACATCCACCTCCCTCTCTCCCAACCAGGTGCCCAAGCCCAGGGGGCTTACCCCCCACCAGCCTCCGCCTGGCAGCTCTAAGGGGCTGACCGCGGAACCTTCCTCACAGGGGCTGGTGAGGATGAAATGAGAGGCTCCTCGCTGAGCACTGGGCAGGGCCCCCGGCACGTGCTCGGATAACGGGGGCTCTGGTTATTACCACGGCTTAGGGCCTTAGGCTCTCCATCCTGTCTCCCCCACCAGCCGGAGACCCCGGAGCTGAAGGCCTTGCAGGACAGGCTGGCGACCGCAAACCTGAAGACGAGTGACCTCCGCAACCAGGTCCAGTCTCTGAAGCAGGACCTCCGGATGGCCCAGAAGGTACCTCAGAGCCAGGCTCAGGCCCGCTTGGCCGGGGCCGGCATCGGGAAGGGGCATGACGGGGACAATGGGTTCCATTCAGGACGAGCGAGGGCTTGGCCCCGTGGGCACCATGCTGCTCGCTCTGGGTCAGGCTCCAGATCCAGTAACTTCCTTCCACCAGCCCTGGAAACAGAACCATTTGGCGAGGGGGGTTGCTGGCTGCCCGGGGAGCCCTGCCCGCATGCCCGGGTGGAGCCCTCCCAGCCCCGGAGCGAGGAGGACAGTGCTGTCCACCCAGGGAGAGCCCTTACAACCTGCCTTGTGCCCTGTGCACCCCAGTGGATCCTGGGCCTCTCCTCCCTAAGCCACCTTGGACTTGGAAGCCAAGACCTGCCTCGTGCCCTCTGCCGTCTGCAATATTAGAAAATGAATAGGTTGTTTGTGTATTCCAGGCCCCCCTTCAAAGGCAAACTGCTCAGGCTTGGGAGGCAGGCCCAGCGGCTCCATTATTTATTTTTATTTACACAGTGAATTCTCTGGCATTTGTCTGTCCTGCTGGAGCGACTCAGATTTCCAAAACAGTGTTCTATTGTAGAAACAAGCGCGGGGACGCGGTGCGCCCGATCAGGTTTCCGTGACGGGCTTCAGAGGGGCCCGGGCACAGGCCGAGCCTGCTGTGTCCAGCTCAGGCCTGAACACCTCCCATCAGCAGCCGCAGCATTGGGCCTTCTGGAGCCAAACGTCCCCGATTGACATCCATAAGCCCCTCTGCCTCGCCGCCCTCAGACGTGGCCCGGTGTCAGTGGCTTTCACAGAGGGCGTGGCCCTGTGGCCCTGCACTTCCTGTGGCCGTCCAGAATGAGCTCAGCGCTAGGTGACGGGTGAACAAACTAAGGAAGCAGGTTTTGGTCAATTTTGTGGTTCACTCATCCCAGAATACGTCATGAGCAAGGGACCCCCACCTGGGTGTTGTCAGCAGTTCCTTGTCTGCTCTAAGCATCCATCGCCAAGAAATGCTGGGGACGAGGGGCCTGCTGCCTTCCCGGGGAGAGCTGCTCTTGGAAGGTGGTCAGCTGGCCTCTGGGGTGGAGGAAGGCTGTGCGGGCAGAGGCCGGGCCTTCTGGGAGCCCCATGCACCCGCTCTGCCTCCGAACAGGCGGGGCCCTCTCTCCAGGCCACACTGAAGGCCGCGCCCTTTCCAGGTGCTGGCCAGCGAGGTTGGGGAAGATGTGAACATCCAGCAGCTTCTGTCCTCGCCAGGGACCTGGAGAGGTCGGGCTCAACAGATTCTCGTTTTGCAGAGCAAGGTGAGTGAGTCATCAGACTTCTCCGGGCCCTGGACAGAGGGCTTGAAATGCCCCCGAAAGACCCACAGGGACCCACATCAGAGACACAGGACCCCCAAAAAGGCCCCCCGCAGGGCCGTCATTTCCCGTTCTCCCCAACCAGCCTGATTTCAATTTGTCATTTAGTGAGCAGGCATTTATGTAACCGTTACCATGTGGCAGGCACTGGCGCTTCACAGAGCCAAGGCCTCTGATTTATTCGACTCCAGGCATGTTCCCCCCCAGTTCGTGTAAACTTGCGTGACTGGTGTGCTTGTAGGCTTTTCCCAGTTTTGTCCAGATGCTCGTAGACTTTTGAAAGTTTTAATACCCAGTAAAAACAGCCTCGTCTCCCTCTTTCCGTTCTCAACATTCAGAGCCTCCCTAGAGGCTCAGAGCAGGGGGAGTCCGACTGCTTGGATCAAATCCCAGCTCTCCCCTCACCAGCTGTGTGGCCTCGGGCAAGTTACTCCCCCTCTCTGTGCCCAGTTTCCTCATCTGCAAACACTGGACTCTGCTAGTACCTCCCCCACCGGGCTGTTGGGAGGACTGAGGAGCCGGGGTGTGTAACGTGTTCAGCACAGCGCCAGGCCCGAGGAAGCGCTGGACCGAGGTTAACTGTGCTTAATTTCCTCTTTTTTGCCTTCAAACCAAGAAACACCAGTCGGTGTATAACTACCACAGCTGCCGAGCACTTGGCCCTCATCCCAGGGACTTCGGGGTCACAGCTCTGGGTGGCTTTTACCCTCGGGGGGCTCCTGTGGGATCCTTGAAACCAACCCGAGGAGGGAAAGGCCCTCAGAAAACTATAACTAGTGACCAGTGTGGGACCTGGGGGTTCAAGAGACTCGGGTCTGGGTGTGGCCGGAGCCGCTGGTCTACAAGTTCTGTGACCTTGGGCAAATCACTTCTCTGTGCCTCAGTCTCCCCACCTGTAAAACGGGGGCGACAGTCCTTTTCTCATGGGTTGTTGGGGGTTCAGTGAAATAACATTTGTAAAGCACAGTGCTTGGACATTATAAGCACTCCACACAGCCATCATTGTTGTTGTTAAGTTGCGTAAATAAACTTTTAAAAGTAGGCCTGTGTTCCTTAATCCTCAATGGAATCACCGCACAACGCCACACGAGGGCATTGACATGCGCTTTCACGGCCTCACTGCTACCCTTTGCCAGTGAGTCTGGTGAATTTTGCTGCCCCCCCCACCCCGCACCAGCCCGCCCCCACCTGCTCAGGTTAACCCAACTTTGTTCCATCATTTATGTTATGTCGACAGGGGAACCAGGGTTAGAAGGACCCTGGGAATTACCCACTCCAACCCCAGGGTGATAAGCCACCCGCCTGCCACTTGCCGAGAGCCTAGCAGAGCTGGACCAGTGCTGAGGGCTGCCCCTGGGCCACCGTAGGATTTCCCAAAGCACTTGTTTTCCACGCAGGTCCCACAGGCCCTGCCCCTGGCGCTCTGACGTGTTGGTCTGGAGTGGGCCCCAGGATTTGTCCTTCCAAGGAGCATCCTGGGGGTTCCCGGGCTCAGACAAGCTCAGGGTATACCCGTAGGGCCATGTCACAGACGAGAGACCTGAGATTCAGAGAAGTTCAGTGAGGCTCTGAGCCGGCCTCTGAGCCTCCCATCCCTGCCCTCCCTCTGCGGCATCTCTCGCGCGCGGCCAGCACCCCGGGCCGCCTGAGGAGCACGCCACGCACGTCTTGGGTGGTCTGTCTGTCAGAGTTCTTCTAGCTGAGGTCCTCTGTCCTCTCCCTCCCGGGTTCTTGGGGCGACACATCTGCTTCTCGGCCTCAAGGCCCTCGGAGACGGGGCGATCTTTCTCATTGACTTTGATGCTTCTCATTTCCAAGCTGACCCTCTCTAGTGTCTTCTCTTGTTTTGCTCAAGGTGCCACGTCAGATCCCTCCCCTCCGCAGCCCCCCTCCTCTGGGGCTTCCACATCCATCTGGAACTGCGGTGTCCTCTGCCTGGTGGGGTCCCCGTCACCCCTCAGGGTGGCCCTCCGAGCAGTCGAGTCTGACGGCAGACCGGCCGTGGAACAGCGAGTCTCACCCCCCTCAGGTTCGAGAGCTTGAGAAGCAGCTGGGACAGACCCAGAGCCAGTCTGTGGGAGCAGCCAGTGACGAGCCGTCCGTCTGTCCCGACCCGAGGAAGCTGACGGCACAGGAGAAAAACCTGCTGAGGATCCGCAACCTGGAAAGGGAAAAGCAGGAAGGCTGGGAGGTAATGCACGCCCTGGGGAGGGCGGTGGGGCCCGGGGATCATGACGCCCCTACAAGGACTCGGAGGCACCCATAGAGGCAGGAGACCCGGGGGTTGGGGTCGCCGCTGTGTATGTTCCTCACACCCTGAGATCAGCTGGAGCCGCCTGACTGGGTCCTCAGGCCGAGCCCATTCCATGGCCTTGGGTGGCCCCATCCTGGCCGATTGGGAGGTTTGGATCTGAAACTTCCATTGTAAAAGGAGAGGGGAAGTGTCCCGGCCCCAGAGGTGTGCAGGGCCCAGATGGCCTTAAAGGAGCAGCGCTGGGGCAGGTGGAGGCCTGGTATCACCCCCGGGGCCTGCATCATGGAAGCACAGCTCTCCTCTCATCCCAGCTGACGGGAGGGTGCGGGGAGGGGGGGAGGACCACCCCTGGAGGACAGAGCCAGAGGTGCCCAGAGGTGGCCGTGCGCTTCCTCTCAGCCTGACTCTGGCAGAGCGGGGGCAGCTCCTGGAGCTCGAGCCCAGGAAGGAGTGCTGGCATCCACGGTGCCGTCCGCCCTGTGCTCGGGCAAGGCCTGGCGTCGGGGCCCCGGCTCCACTGACTCGCTCTATGGCCTTGGACAAGTCCCCTTCCCATTCGGGCATCGCCTCCCAGTGAGCCGGAGCGAGGCACCCGATGTGCTGGGGGGCCCGCTCCGCCCTGCCCAGGACTGCACTTTCTGGTTCCAGAAACTGGCTGCTGAGCGGGACGCCCTCCAGAGAGAGCTCGACGAGCTGAAGAAGAGGTTCGAGGGCCTGAGGTCCCGGAACAAGGTGCTGGCGAGCGAAGTGAAGACCCTCAGGAGTCAGATGGGGACCCTGGTGGAGAAGGGCCGCCATGACGACGAGCTCATCGATGCCCTCATGGTACGACGACGAGCTCATCGATGCCCTCATGGTACGGCCCCTCCCAGCCCCTGCGAGCCCTCACTCGACCCCAAATGCCACCGGCATGACCCCGCAGCCCACGGCCTCCAGATGCTCACCCCGGGGGCAGGAGCAGCTCAGAAGCTGCCCAAGGGCGTCTAGAGGTCACGGGGTATGAGACGGATGTCAGGCACAAGCCACCAGGCCTGGGGACGCCAAAGGAGAAAGGAATGGGTGAGGGCGGAGGAATAGGATGACGCTTGGGTTATTTTTCATCAGGGAGTGGGAGGGACAACTGAGGGGCCAGCACAGATTCTTGTCCGTGTGGCAACGCGGAGCCCCTCCCCTCTGGGCCCTTGGGGAGCAGCTTGTAATGGTTAGTCCCCAAGATAACCCCGAGGGTCTCTATTACAACCCGGTTTCACAGACGGGGAAACTAAGACTCCAGTTGGCTAGATGAGTCACCCAAGACCACACAACCGGGTTTATCTGCCTGCGAAGCCTTTGATGAGCAGCGCCGCTCTGCGGCTCTGACCCCAGCCTGGCCTGTTCTTTCCGGGGCCTGCGGCACCCCGGAGTTTTGACTCTGAATTCCAAGTTGTGTCCTCGGTGGTCATGCCTGGTTGACCGGGGTACCTGGGGGAATGGATGCAGGCGTAGGCACCGCCCCCAGTCCGTGATCATTTCGGGGGGTGGGGGGGGGAAGACACAGGAGACCTAAGATCCAGGCCTGCCTCTGTTGACACCTCACCGTGTGATCCTAGGCCAGTTGCCTTCCCGCTCTGAGCCTCAGCTCCCTGTTTTGAAATAAGGTGCCGGGCTGAGGGCCCAGTGTGCCACCATCCTTGGTCACTGAAGGTGGCACGATGAGAGCTGCAACCCAGCCCAGCCCAGCCCTGCCATTCACCAGCAGTGCCCCTGGGCTCCCCGAGCCCCATCTCCCTCCACTGTGAGGTGAGGACAGCAGCCCCCTCCTGTTCCGTGTTACCAACGTGGTCCTTCCTGGCCCGTAGGCAGGATACTTCCACCTCAGAGTGTCCTCCGGGGCATCTCAGGGGGATGGGGCCTCCGGCAGGTGCCGAAGGATTCCTGGTGAGGGTGCTGGGTACTGCCTGCAAGGGCGGTCTCCCAGCAGAGGGGGGTAGGGTTTCGTTTTGCCCAAATGTCCCCCCCCCCGCCCCCGCACTGGCTGAGGGGCCACCATCTGAGCTGCTTCCCGTTGTCCCGAGAGCCCCTTGGACGTCCTTGGCCTCAGGGAGAAGAAAGTTGAGGAGAGGAAAAGGGCCTGGCCCTCACCTGCCCGAGTGCTTTCCCAGGGAACACAGTGTCCCAGTGAGGCCCCTGCAGGCCCAGGGAATGGTGGGGTGCCGGTGGGGAGTGGGGGGGTCGGTCGCCTCTTGTCCTTTCTTACCCAGGGGCCGTGGCTGGCCCTCGCCTGCCCTCCTGCTTGGCCCCCCAGGTCCAGCTGAAGCAGCTACAGGAGATTTTGGGCAGCCTGAGTCTGCAGGAGGAAAAGACGCGAGCCTCCCAGCACTGCCTGGACCAGCAGCTCAACAATGAGGCCCAGCAGAGCAGCAGCCTGGTGGCCCAGCTGCAGGCCATGGTGGCTGAGCGGGAGGCCAAGGTGCGGCGGCTGGAGTTGGAGATCGGGCAGCTCAGTGCGCAGGTGAGTAGGGCACTGGCTCAGCCCAGCAGCCATTTCCCAGTCCTGGCGCGTCCATCTGCCATCCAGAGACATCTCAGCCCTGTCCGCACCCTTCCGCCTGCCTTTATTCAGGGTGCACCGCACCCTGCCTGCTTCCACCTGGCGCCCCCACCCCCGCTCATCCTGCACACACCTGTTCCCTCCCAGGTACAAACCTGATTGCCCCCCTGCTCTGTATAAAACCTGTCCCTGGCTCCCCATCACCCAGTCCTCAAGGGCCCAGGCTCCTTCCAGCTCATCCCCTCCTCCTCATGGTCCAAGGCGGTGGCTGGAGAGCAGCCTTCACACTCACATCCCAGGTAGCAGGAAGCCACACTTCCTCATCCAGCCGGCAGGGCCCCATGTGACCAGCTCTTGCTGCCACCCCTCCGGCGCCTTCTCCTCGCCCCTCCGGTTCCTGCACGCTCTGGCCACAGCGATGCCATTCAGCTCCTCACTCGGCCCTGCTCTCTCCCCACTCCAGGCCTGTGCGCGTGCCTGACACTCATGCCTTCCCTTCCCTCCCCCACACCCTGCCTGGCCAGCTGCCTCTCAGCCGTTAGGTCTTACCTAGCATGAGCCCCCCTGGGAAGCTCCGGGGCCCCAGTTCTCTGTTATGTACCCCTCCTGGGCACTCTCTGAACACCCCGTGCATCCCCAAGCCAGACTCGTCCCACTGAGCCATCATTTTCCAGTTTTCTCCCCTTGAGGAGACACCGGCCATAGCAGCATCATCACGGTAGATGCTCAGTAAAGGCATCTCAGGCGTGAGCTCCTGAAGATACGCTGCCCTGGCCGACCCCTCGAGGGCGCAGCCTGGGCTGCTCGGCGTCAGGCACCAGGGCTCTGCGGCCCCTTCCTGCGGTGCCGGTGGTGCTGGGGGCAGGGGCTTTGGTCACCTCTGGGGAGGATTCCTTGACATCCACACAGGTTTCCCAGGGATGGGAGCTTGACCGGCACAGCCAAAGGCGTGTCTCAGAGCCTCCCTGCCCTGTTCCCAGGGTGCATGGTGCCGTGGGAGGCGCGGGAGCCCAGGGAGCCCTCAGCCCCCGGCTGGTGTGGGCGCGTGTGGGCGGTTTGTCCTGTAGCCATCCCTCTCCAGAGGCAGGCCAGCCTGGGCCACGGGATCGGGCTGAGGGAGAGCCGGGGGCAGGAGGAAGGCTTGGGGACAGGATGCTGGCAGTGAGTGGGGGCATCTCCTCGCAGTCCTCCCCCTGCCTCCTCGCCCAGGCTCCCTGGGGAGTGAAGTCTGAAGGGCACACGGCATCCCCACCTCAGCGCTCCTGGCTCCGGGCACACAGACGGGGGCTGACCCTTCTCTCAAAGGTCACCAGCCAGCTGGGGGCAAGCACTGCCCACCAGACAAGTTTTCTCAGAACGGGTGGGGCTGTCCACTCCTTGCTGGGGTCCTTCAGGCAGGCCTCACTGCTATCCAGAGGAGGGAGGGACAGGGGAGGGATGGGGGCCCGGCCGCCTCTCTGGCCACAGGTGTCTGGAAGTTCAAGTTTCTCCAGCTGGCGGCGAGGGTGGGGTGGCCGAGAGCGACAGGCCCACTCAGGACGTCAGCCTCTGATCGCCCGCGGGCCGTGCGTCCCTTTGGGACCAGAATGTAGAGCAGCTCTCCGGCCCAGTCCGGCCTCGGCCTCGCACTGGGCAGCTCCCTTCTGAAGAGAGGCATTATTCAATGTCATTATCATGCAAGGAGCGCCGGCACCAGACAGGCCTCGCGTCTCACCCCTGAAAAGAAGCCTCTTTCATGTCCCCTGAAAGGCCCGGAATCCAGCCAAGGCCCCCTCCTGCCTGCCCAGGCCTCAGAGCCAAACCCTGAGCATCCAACCCGTGTCTGTTCCCTGCAGTATCATCGGAATAAAGGCGTGAGCGAGGGGTCCGGTGGGCCCGAGGTCGGCCCCGCCCCCACCGAGGTCCCGGAGGACACGGGCCTGGCCTCGGCGGGCGACCACGGCAGGCTCAGGTCCCCTCGGTAAGTGGCCCGTGGGCTGCAGGGGTGGGGAAGTGAATGTCAGTGACTCAGCGGAAAGGAGGCTTCTGCTGCCTCGGCCGGGAATGCGGAGATGGCTGTGGCGTCGTCCTCCCAGCACGTGGGCCTCTCCTGCCCGCTGGCCCCGCATCTGCTTGAAGGGCAGGAGGCCCAGGCCCCACCACTCGCGGAGCCTGCGGTTGCAGCTCCCTGCACAGTCCTCTCGGGACGCACCTGCTTCTGGGACTCACAGCACAGACCTGTGCTCGATTGTTCGAGGCTCTGACGTCTCCCACTTTCTCGTTTTGAGCACGAGCTCTCCAGAGAGGAGCAGCCAGCCAATCCACAGGCGGCTGCGAGGGCCAGCCCTGGCCGCCACCTTGGGGCTCCGGGCCCTGCTAGCCCCGGCTCCCCGCCCAGCTGGTGGGGCCCGGCAGGGCCCGCCTGCCTCCCCGCGGTGACGAGCCCCTTCTGCCTTCACACAGCTCGGTGACCAGCCTGGGCCACACACTCGTGGAATCTGCCCGCACGTGGCCTTCCCCGCCCAGTCCTCATGGGGCCTCACCCAGGTAAGAACCCAGCATCCGGGCCCTCTCCGTTCTTCCCATCCCTGACGCAGCCGGGAGCGCCATTCCATTAAGAGGAGGGGAAACTGAGGCCAGGCCAAGTCCGGGAGCGCTCCCACGGTTACATAAGGACGTGGAGGGCAGGGAGGACCTGGAGTGCCTTGTCCAAGGTGAGAGGCTTGGAACCAGTCCCGGCCTCCGACTCGCAGCCCAGTGTCCCTGCTCCTGCAGCCTGAACGGGAATCTTCCAGGGCCCAGGGCCCAGCCCCGCCCCTCCTCTTCGCTTGCCCGCTGAGAATCAGCCTCTGGGGGAGCATTTCGCATCCCGATGCCTCCCCACTTGGAGGCACTGATAGCCCCTCCTCCCCCGCCCCATCTCTGTGACAGAAGCCAGCCTTGTTCTCAGATGGGCTCTTTGTTCTTCCTGCTGCTCACGGACAAAGGGTGGCTTTGTCCTGCCTCTGAGCCCTGCCCACTGTCCCCTGGAACCCTGCCCCTGCTGCCAGCCCCTCCCCCACCCACCCCTCAGGCAGGTCAGCTCAGGTTCCGATGGGAGCCGCCGAGTGGGTCTAGGCCAGTGGTCCACAAACTCATTAGTCAACAGAGCCAAATATCAACAGTACAACGATTGAAATTTCTTTTGAGAGCCAAATTTTTTAAACTTAAACTATATAGGTAGGTACATTGTTTTGAACTTAATTAGGGTACGCCTAAGGCTTAGGAAGAGCCACACTCAAGGGGCCAAAGAGCCGCATGTGGCTCGCGAGCCGCAGTTTGCCGACCACGGGTCCAGGCCCACCTTTGACTTGCTGGGCAATTTGGTCCTCTCAGGGCTTCCGTTTCCCAGGAAGTGCCCACGACACTTCTGGCCTGGCATCCGGCAGCTCGGGGACCATGGCCAAGGCCAGCCCTGCAGCTGCCCCGCTCGGCAGCCTAGAGTCACAGGGCATCTGGGGAGAGAGGGGGCCAACTCTGAGCCAGGGGGCTCCCACCACAGTTCTCCTCCTGCCACAGAGAAGGACAGGCTCTGTCTCCGAGGCTGTAGTCACAGGAGGAGGATCGGGGAGGTGGACAGGATGACCTCTGGAGGTCCCTTCCAGCCTGTGTGGCTGGGACCTGGGCATGGCACAGGGGTGCAGGGGCCCGTGTGCTCCTGGGCCCAGCCTGCTGGTTCTCAAGCTGGTTCCTTCCACGATGCAAATGTTCATTGAACCTGAGTGTGTGCGGGCCCTGCCTTCATGGAGCTTGCAGTCCCTTCCCACCAGTGGCAGGACGGGTGTGCGTGGGGCGGGGGTGACCCAGAGTAGGTTTCCATCAGCGATGGCCTGGAGACGGGTGGGTGCCTGGAGTAAGGCAGGGTGCTCCCCCACATGGGAGATCAAGGAGGTGACTGGATTAGGGCTGTCCGAACTGTGGTGCTCACACGGGTCAGCGGGGCTCTGGCAGGTTAGATGTGGGTTCTGAGTCCAAGGCAGGTCTGGGCCAGAGACTGGGACCCTGAATTTCCAACCAGCTCGCAGGCGATGCCCCGGCCGCCGACGGGGACACCACACTCTGAGCAGAGCAGCAAGGCCTTGGTCAGAGCATGGAGCCTGCGTCCTCAGGGCCCTCTCCACCGGCCCCACCCTGTGCAGAGGGACCACCAGGGCCCAGAGAGGGGAAGAACCTGCCCAAGACCACGGAGCGCCAGCCTCTGGGCTGGCCTGTCTGTGTCCTGTGATGCTGAGCACAGCCAGGGTCACCAGGGTCTCACTGGGAAAGGTGAAGGCAGAGCAGAGAGCAGCTTGGGACTCGCACGTGGCCTCTAGGGGGTTGGGGTGAGGCAGAGCTTACCTTCTGCCCTGACCCGGCCACTGGGGAGGGCTGCTAGGCAGGCCCAGTGGTAAGGAGGGAAGCAGTGATGGTCCGGATCAGGGCTGGAGAAAGCCACCTGTCCGGGCTCTGGCCGAGTGGGCTGGGCTTGGGACCAGGTCAGGATGTGCGAGAGGGCTGGGGCAGGCTGGCATTGGGCAGGGAGGCCAGGCCCCAGGCCACACAGGTACCCAGAACACCCCAGGTCCCCAAAAGCCAACTACTGTGGCTGCCAGACTTATTCCAGGCCCCTATGAGGGGTTGGATGAACAGAGGTGCCCTGGTGGGGCCTGGTGTGGAGCCGGCGATGGCCCAGAATGGTGGCTGAGGAGCAGCCAGGGGTACAAGACCAGGGGGCCAGGGGGGCTGGGGGGGGGGCTTCCTCCTCTCTGGTCATCTCTGAGGACCCCTGAACGTCCTTCAACTCTCCGCCACCATCGTAGTGTGTCTTCAGGTAACCCCTCAAATGACCTCATCCTGCCTTCGTCCTGGTCCCCAGGTTCTTGGACTCCCCAGAACACAGGGGCTGGCAGGCCCAGGTGACAGAGCTCAAGGCTCTCTGGCAGGCCACCGAGGTGGAACGCAACCGGCTCACCGAGTTCGTCACCGTCCTGCAGAAACGGTAACCCCTGGCCTCAGGGTCTCCCTTTCATGGGCCTACCTGGGTCGGGGGTGCACGGCCTGGCCAGGCCTCGTCTGTGACTGGGTCCACATGACCGGGGAGTTCGGCTCCCACAGTGTTGGTCCGGGGCATCCCCCGACACAGCTCATGTCCCCACCCAGTGCCCACACCCTGGGGGCCCTGTCGTCACGCCGGTTTGCCCTGTCCTACGAGGCTGTTGCAGGTAGGTGGACTGAGGTGGGGGTCTCAGGGAGAGGCTCCCTGGAGTAGTGAAGTCAGTCAATCGACCACCAGTGGTTAAAGTCTATGGTGAGTATGGCACTCTCCGGGCGCCATCGGAGGCTAGACTGGTGTCCGGAGTTACAAAGGGAAAGAGAGCCGCTGGGAGCTCGGAGCTGGGACTTCTCTGGGGAGGCGAGGGGAGCGGGTGGCCCGAGGCAGTGGACCAGGAGGCACGGTTTTCTCCAAGGGGTTGTTGACAGGTTGCCGTTCAGATAAATCAGTGCTCCTCACTCAAGTGACCCTTTGGCAAGAAACGCAGGTGCCCTGGCCAACACATGGCCTACCCACGTGACCTCCACAGTGAGAATATAAAGGACATCACCGAGTTTCCACCCTAACGGGCCGTATCACATGTCAGTGAGGGCGCTTTGGTGACAGGCAATAGGAACCGATTCCGGCTAAGCGGAGGGAAAGGCCGGCCTAGGGGGGTGCTGGCAGGCTCCAGGCACCGAGCAGGAGAGAAGCTCGAGAGGGTCCAGGAATCTTGGTAGCAGGGACCTTGGGTGGTCTCCCCTGGGCCACTGGCATGAAGGCCCGGTGGCTTTCAGTTCCAGTGCCCGTGGGTTCTGAGGGGGAATTCTAGCTGGCCCAGATCACTCTCGTGTCCCTCCCTGGACGCGGGCCAGGCATCTTGACTGGAAATGCCTCCAGGTACTCACAGTTGGAGGAGGGGCAGCGTGTTAAAGAGAAAAAGAGAATATCATGACCAAAGGAGGGAGGGGTGCTGGGAAGTGGTCAATGGATGGCCACCACCTTAGCGGCGGGGAGTGATCAGCGTTCATTGTTGTCTTTTCCTGCAGTACACAGGGAGGATCTGATTTCCAGACACGCTCAGGTCTGTGAGAAAAGTGACAGTAATTCTTTCTCTGTCGTGGAAACGGAACGGGAGGAATACACCCGTTCAGGCTTTCTCTCCCATTCCCTTTGAGTCACACCTGAGCGTTGGGGGTTTTGTGAACCAAGGTGACGTAGTTATCTGTTTCCGCAGCAGAAACCGCCCCACGCGGAGTGGCTTGCGGCAGTTCTTAGGCCGTGGAAGTGCTCCTCCATGGAGCGGCTTTTGTGTGTGTGGCGCTCTTGGGGTTTCAGTGGTCTGTGCTCGGTCATTTATGCTAATTTCTCGGTTTAGGGTTTCCTGAACACACAAGTGCTGGCCTTGTTTTCCATTTCCTCAAGCTCGGCGCTCTGTCCCCCGCTGAGGCCCTGGTAGACTGCGGGCGTCCTTACCACTTCCCTGGCTTGCAGAAGGAGACTGCCTCAGTCCACAGTTACGCAGACAACTCGCTCGCAGCTCGAGGCCTTGTCTGAGCCCAAGTTCACGTCTTCTGCTCTCACACTGGCTTATGAGATTGGAAGCTTTACTGTGACAGAGATATAACTTATTGCAAGAAGACTCCTTTTCTAACCCCCACCCTCCACCAATTTCCCACTCCTCACAGAAAAGATCTGTTAGAACTTTCAACATGTTTTCTTTGTACATCCAAAAATATGCATGTATATGTGTACATATGTGTATCTGTAGATGCACACACATATATAATTAATTAAAAGACGGACTCACACTAGGCACATCTTTACATGTCTGTGGGAGTATATCCGTGTTACAAACTTCTAATAGTGGGATCTCTGAATCAAAGAATATGCGCATTTAAAATGTCCACAAATAATGGCAAACCATGTATACGGCATTATGTATATAATGTGTAATATTGATCTTCATAGAGATCTTGTATCCTTTGTATTAAATTCATTCCTGGATAGGGGGACCTCCTCATCTGAGTATTCTTTATCCCTATCCCAACAGTTACAGTCCTCGTGAAAGCAAAATTTTTAACATCAAAACATTCACTCACCAATGACTTGGTTTAGCCATCACTTCCCATTGCCATTCGGTCCATTTGGTCAAACGCTCAAAATAGAATGAAAATCAATTACAAAGTAAAAAGGGCGGGTCTTTAACAATGTCCGGAGTTTCATGAGGTTGGTGCACATGGTCTTGGGGAGCTGCTAGGACCAAAGCCATTGACAAACGGGAGTCCAACCGCCTCGGCTCAGCTACTGATCAAAGAAGAAGCAACTAGCCACGTGTGGCCAGTGTGACTGAGGAGCCGAGTTTTTAATGCCATCTGATGTTCATTCATGTGCATTTAGCTACACATGAGCATTCTGCTGGCAGCCACGGTGCCGACCAGCACAGCTCTCAGATTCCATCGGACTCCCTGGGATGAATATGTTAGTGACCACTATTCTCTTTCCCCTGTTCATGGACCTTTTAGGTTGTTTGAGTTGTTTTGCTTCTGCAAATAGTTTCAAGGAACATGCTTGAACAAGCTGTGTTAAGAGGCCTGTATACTGTGTTCGTGTACTGTTTGGTGTTAGTTTGTACTTTGCAAAATTGTCACCATTCAGTTCCTTCTTGACTCGTCACAAGGGTGCAAAGACCAGTTCCTCCAACCCTGAGAATTCCCCGGCAGCCACTCTGATCGGCATGTGTGTCTGTAACCTTTGCCTGCCTCCGTCTCAGGGAGTCCCGGCCTTCCCGTGGAGCCTTGAGTGTCACCAAAGTTGCCAGTGCCCCACCTGGCCACAGGAACGACTTACCCCCAGCCCCAGGGAGGTCAAACAAGTCCTTCGTGAGAAATAACCAAATAGAAATAACCTTCCAGGCCCACAAATCCATTATTGTTATAGAAGAGAACAATAATAATAGCCATAAATGACAATAAACAGAAGGCAATCACTCAGTCCAAGAGAAGCAACAATTAAGAAAGGAAATGTAACCATGACATTTCTAATGCAACCCCCTGGGGTGGACCGGATTGGGTCCCCCTCTGGGGCCAAAGGGACTTTGCAAATGTAATTATTGTTATGGATCCCAACGTAGGAACATTATCTTGGATTACCAGGTGGGCCCAGTGTAATCACTTGAGCCCTTAAAAGCAGAGAGATTGCTGCAGCCGGGTCTGGGTCTGTCAGAGAGCCGCAGCAGAAGCCCCAGAGGTTCGGAGCGTGGTGAGCGTATCCGGCCGGCTTAGAAGAGGGAGGGCCCACGGGGCCTCTAAAAGATAATGACCCAGCCAGCAACCAGCAGGAGCCGGGAGCTCAGTCCCTCCACTGGATCTGACTTCTTCCAACCACCAGAGTGCACCGGGAAGCAGATGCTCCCCCAGAACCTCCAGGGACCAGCCCAAGTCCACCAGCATCTTGGTTCTGGCTCGTGGAACCTGGAGCAGAGACACCCACAGAACCTGCCGAACCCTCTGGCTAACAGAACTGTGAGATAATAAACTCGTGTCACGTCACGCTGTTACGTTTGCGACCATTTGTTACAGCAGCAACAGGAACCCGATACGCCACCTCATATTAATTCAGCCAGGACATGGGAGGTGGAGGGGGGACGCTCGGTCCTAAGAGGAGGGGATCGAAGTAAAACTAAATTCTCATGTTGCACAGCAGGAAGCCCGACGATTCCATTTAAACCTTAAAAGGACAGGCATAGCCCTGGCTGGGTAACTCAGCTGGTTAGAGCCGTGGTCGGCAAACCACAGCTCGCGAGCCACTTGCGGCTCTTTGGCCCCTTGAGTGTGGCTCTTCCACAAAATGCCACGTGCGGGCGCGCATGTACAGTGCGAAGTTGACTTAAAACTTTAAGTAAAGTTTATTAAGTTAATTTTAGGGAACGTTGTGGAGTGAAAGAAGATGTAGTGTCGAGGATTGAGAAAGGTATGTTGAGATGGTTTGGACATAGAGAGAGGATGAACGAAAGGAGATAGACGAAACCAGTATACAAGACGAGTGTGGATGGGAGAGTTTGGAAGGGGCCGACCTCAGCGAACGTACCTCAATCAGATTGAGGACGTTTTTAGCAAAGGCCAGCTTAGGAGTCCCCTAATTGAGTTAATAACAGTGTACCTACCTATATAGTTTAAGTTTAAAAAATGTGGCTCTCAAAAGAAATTTCAGTCGTTGTGCTGTTGATATTGGGCTCTGTTGACTAATGAGTCTGCCGACCACTGGGTTAGAGGGTCGTCCTGATACGCCAAGGTTGTGGTTCGATCCCCGGTTAGGGCTCATCACAAGAAGCAACCAGTGAATGCATAAGCAAGTGGAACAGCAAATCTCTCCCTCCCTCCCTCCCTCCCTTCCTCTCTCTCTAAAGAAATAAAAAAAATAAAACATAGCAGCATAAGCATCTGTGGAAACAAGGTAGTGAATAGTCAAAGCAGCAGCCAGGCGTGTTCGAGGTGCTTGCTTCTGGCGAGCAGGCATGGGAGTGAACGGGGGGCAGATTTTTCCCTTTTCCGCCTCGGAGGGAACGATAGGGATTTTAAACGCACGTGCCCGTGTTACTGCGTCGAAAGGAAAGAAGAGCCCGTCCCACCACCACCCGTGCCAGATGTGCCCACCTCCCTGGGAGCCAGGGAGTGCGGCAGCCCCTCGTCTCGCCCCAGGGTGAGGAGAGGGACGGCGGCTTCTGGAGGCCCAGCGAGCTGCAGGAGAGCGCAGCGCAGCGTGGTGCTGGTGCTTGAG